GATCCAGGAGAGTCACGTTATCTGTCTTTTCGCTAGCCAATAGATAAGCGCCGATAAGAGTAACCAATCAGAAGCGTGGCTGTTCGTTCAGTTTTGCCGGTAATACCAGCTCAGCTAAAGCTTCGCTGGATTACATAAGTTCCAAGTGTATGATGCCGCTTTGGGCCTTGATTATCCGGCCGGCACATAAAAGACAACTCTTCCTCTTCCTCCTCCTCCTCCACCACCTCTTCTTCTTTTGCTAGGGACAGATTAATAATACCATCGCGTCTTGAGGAATAAATCTCTTCCATAATTATATATACGTTGAGCTATATATACGTCCGCAGTACCGTGAGCACTACTACTTGCTTTACTACTTCCTACTTACTACGTAGGTATGTACATGTTTTTTGTATCGGTTTTTTCTCTGTGCATCACTTTTCTCGTCCGTCCGTCCGTATGTCGTCTGCGTCAAATCTCGTGGGGTTCGTAGCGCATTAAAATAAGTGACAAAACTCTTTAGTCCTCTCTTCTCTCTGTAATCTTCTTCTTCCCTTCCTTCCCTTTCCCCAACCATCTTGTAGCACCCGATTCAAGGGGGATGGTCGGTGAGGAGGAGGAGGAGGATATTGGAAATCTAATGTCCCGGTCCCTTCAAACCCATGCAGTTGGCGTAAAAGGTCACGGTGGCGGACCAGTCGGAGAAGATGGCCTTGATGCCGATCTCGCGGGCGAGGACGTCGAGGGCCTCGTAGGCTTGCCCGTCATAGGAGATGATGGGGGCGATGGACGACCAGTAATAGTCCTCATTGGCGCGGACCTTGTCCAGGGGTCCCGAGCGTTCAAAGGACCAGGCGATGATGTCGAGCCCGGCCTCCATGGCCGTGGTGGCGTAGATGGAGGGCACGATGGTGTCGTTGTTGGGACCGCCAACGGACAATAAGTATGGATACGGCGGCGACACTATGTTTACTCCGCTGGCCTTGAGCGCAGGGAGGCGGTTCACTGCCGTGGTGAAGTTGGAGGCCACGTCGCCGTCCTCGTCCAAGAACACGGCCTGCTTGCCCCACTCTGGGAACTCGTTGAGCCACAAGTAGATATCGGCTGGGGTGAAGGACTGCGGCCACACCCGCTCAGGCGCGATGCCCTTCTTGACAAACGTGTTGATCATGTCTCGTGCATACTGCGCCTGCGTGTACCCGTGAAACGGCATGGGAACCTGCGACGGCGGCGTCTTCAGCTCCGGTGTGAACATGCGGTGGCCCGGTAGCGACTCGACCAGGTCGATCCAGCTCTCGAGCGTCATGACCTGCGCGCACGTGTTGTACAGGTCGGTTCGGAATGAGGGCGTGCCGTGTTGGTAGTCTTCGGGGGTGGTCGCCGACGCGTTGAAGCCGTCCATCTTGCTGCAGAGCGACAGGAACTCGGCCTCTGTAATGTCGCTGGTGCAACAGAGCGCATCCGCATCGGCCGTCGCATTCGCTGGGGTGAACGGCTTCGTACACTTGGCGGCGAGGTCGGGTCTGAGCAGAATGTCGGTTGTCGTGTGCAGGTCACAGAGCGAGTGTCTGCAAACCAGACCCAAATCAGATGTGAAGGCCACGTCGCACTCGAGGATTCCGGCACCCATCCGTGCACCGGCCATGGTGGATTCGACCGTCTCTTCAGGGAACTGCAGGGTGCCGCCGCCCCGATGGCCGATGCTCCAGTTGGTGACTTCGAAGGGGCCGTTGAAACACGACTCGAGCTTTTGCTTGAGCGGGCCTTCGGTCATATTCTGGACGAGGTAGTAAGGGCGAGGTCCGAGATTGACGTAGTAGTCATCCTGAGTCGGGTGTTGCCCTCGAGGCTTGTTGACGGGCACTGCGCCAGCAATGTCCGCAGCCAAGGCCATCATGGCCAGATAACTTGTCGTGGCACGCATCTTCTAGGTCAGATTGAGATTGTACTTGGAAGCTTTGAAACTCTGCCCACCGCTGCCTGGGAAAGAAAAACTCGAGTCGAAGAAGATTGTGCAGAGGACCGCGAACACCTACCTTTTTGTAGCTTACACCGGCCAGAGAAGCTACCCAGCAAGCTCATAGCTTCCTGCTCCATCAGCGGCATTTGTCTGCGTCATGATCGCACGTGGTAGATTCGAGGGACGGCAACGTGCTCCAATCTGGAAATTTTTGGGAGCTTCTCTGGTTTTAGCTCGTGTGAAGCTCAGTAGAACAATCCCTCGCTCTGCCCAAAGTCGCACCACCACTGCGGTTCCTCCTGCTATCGAGCAAATAACATTCATTGATAGGCAACGTGGACTGTTGTACCTGCATCCTGAGGTGTCGGTCTCGGCGGAATCCCCGGCTGGACTGGGTGGGATGGGTGGTACGTGGGCGATGGAAGCTGTTTGCTAGGCTGAAAATCGACATTGTGAAGTACTCGGTACACAAATCTGTACCCCGCTGATGGATGTGGTTCGATCAGCAGTCCTGGCCACGACGAGGTCTTGGCTGCATATGTCCTGTGGTCATTGTAGCTCTGTCTTCCAATGATAGACCATCTCCGCCTGAAGCGAATACCACAATATGGCCGTAGCTCCTTGGCATATCGGGGCGGAATGCCACCCCGCCAGGAAAACCCAGGGAAGGAATCTCACCAGAGGGTTAGAGTTTCCCTTCCGGAGCTGGATCGTCAGCCTGTGCCTGCACTTGCGTCTGTCTCAGGCCAGCAATGCCGGTCATAGTTGTCCAATAGAGCTTGTCTTTGTTATCATGCCTTTAGAGTGATGATCGTCATTGGGTATAAACCCGAAGATTCTCACTCGGTGAAGGAAGGAAAGGAACGTCCACTGAGACAAGTTGTAGAAAAAGTTGGAGTTACGACAACGGCATCAGAGCCTAGAGCACCAGTAGTACCATGAAAATTGCACAGGAAGCTTGATTCAAAGACATTCGATCGTGAAAGCATTGACCAAGCTGCCTGCCAGCCAGCCTTGTTTACTAGGTGATCACTAGTACGAGACACGCACCAAAAGTACTGTTCACGCTAGTTCAAATGACAAACGTTACGTGCTATGAGGAGATTTTCTGAGCTTGTAGGCCCTCCTATCTATCTCTTAGCTATAAGTTAGATCTAATAGGCGGCCGCCTAAGCTATATTCCCAGTGTCGCTAGGCGCTGTGGGCGTTAAGTATTGAGCCCCGATATCTCCAGGGGCCGTTGTGAGGCGCAACGAAAACAAAGTCTATCGTCTTTTGATCATCTTGTCATTCTCTTACTAGCGTTAACAATACATTGGACCCTGGTTCGGTGCCGGGAAAACATATCGGGGGATGATGAAGAGTGTTGTCGCTTTCATGATGTCTCTTGTATCTCTACCAGGAACTATACCATTCCCGCAATTGTTGACTTCTGCAGTTCAAACCATGCCCAGAATGAAAGACCTTGGTGGGTAAGTCTCACCAACGTAAAATTTATTTGACAGGGTCCGATGAGCTCCCCAGAGACACAAACGGGTCGATATCACCAGTTGATCTGGAGCGGTCCATCCACAAGGTCGAAAGAGCCGGTGGTGTCATGGTCATCGTGGCCACCCCATGCTCAGATTCAAGCGAAACATTCGCTGGCACAGACGGACGTTTGTCTCCATTCATCACGATCAGCATCTCCTTGTTCTGTCTCTTGGATGACAGATACCATGCCAAAAAGACCACAAAGGTGCACGCTCCGGTCAAGGCGAAGTATAGCCATATCCACTTTGAAACAACCTGGTCGGAGTCTCGAGGGAGAAACATGAAGAAGCCAGAGCTGAACAGGGTCGCCATCTTGTGGTCCCGATAAGTTAGTGGCTGGGTCGAAGACTGATTTGATATATGGGCCTCGAACATTGCGAGGTTGGTTCTGATTTAGAGCCTCTGATCAAAAGGTTCGAGGGAACCACGAGAAGTTGATGAGAAAAGCGACCTACAAAAGTGCCCGGAAGAAACAGCAGGGTCACCACTGCAATGATACGCATATCGGTGCTGTCCTTGCGGGTGAGAATGGCAACATTCCTCGAATCTTCAGCCATGTCCCTCATGGCGTTGCTGTGAACGAGGCCTGTTCTCGCGATCATTTGGGAAGTCGCCGCGGTCTCGATGTTGAGATTGTTATCCTTTTGACCGATCATGCTGTAGACCTGTAAAGACGGATCAGCAACTTGACAAGCACAGGAGCTAGTCGAGGCTCTGACTGTCTGGACTTGAGCCCGCGTCCGTGCTGACAAGACCTGTCCATGAAGTTGAGCGCCGACAATCAATTCACGCAGATACGAAATTCTCGTGTCAAGGCCACTCTGGACGTTGAGGCCACTGCCCTCAAGACGTTTGTGGTTGAGTCGATTTCGCACCGTGCAAACGATCTCCAAAGCTCTCAGGCTAGAAGCGAATGTCATGTCGCAAAATGACAAAGTTCCAGTTACGCCTGTAAGCTGCGGGTTTCTGTCAGCCTTCTTGCCGACTTTGGCATATAGGCGGTACCTTTTGAGTGATCTCGTCAAAGTTGAGCTCTTTCAGGAGTCTTTCTCTTGCTCTATCTCTTGCTGCATTTCGGCTGGGATTGGTAGAGAAGCCATGTCTCATGCCAGTTCTATACTCAAGCTCCTCAATGCCTTGAGCGCGCGATTCAAGAAGCACGGCGAAATAGTGGACCTTTAGCTCCAGCAAAAATACTGGTAGCAGCATGGGATCTTGCAGATAGTTGGTGGACTCCTGGATACATTTGAGCATCAGTGTCGTCTCGTCAGCTTGCATACCGTTCACGATGCCGGAGATGACTTTGGTGTCCTCATTATAGACAAGACCAAGGCAAAAATTCCAGTCTCTCGATCTTGCACTCCTGGCCATAAGCCCTGTGATCAATTCCCCTGTCAAAGTCTGGGTCTGGAATTCTGTGGCTATTGGTAGTGTGCTTAGCATCATGCGCAGCAGCTCTGTGGGCAGATTCCAAGTGGTTCTGACGGCCTCGAAGGTGTTTTGAGAGATTGGCAGGGGTAGAATCTGCGCGTCGCTTTTATGCTGCTCTGGACTGCCAATCAGAAGCTGGAGTCGCAGACGACGGTTGCTGAGATCGTTGTCTACCGCCTTATCTGATTGTAAAGAGGCACTGGTAGCTATCTTGGTGGTGATCTCGGACTCGGCAATTTCGCGGTCAAGCAACACCAGCCCACCACCATCCTATGACAAGTCAGTCTGAGGCTCTGAGGAAAACCTGGAAGCCTTGGCTCACATCAGGCTCCCACACCTCGACCCATCTGTTGCCCGCCCGAGGCTCAAATTTGGATGGGTCGTTCAGCAGTTTGGTGTAATAGAAGTCATACATTGCGTCAACACAGGATTTATTCGCGAGGAGTTTGAGTAACGTTGCCTGCTGTCAGTCTCGTTGCCTACGAAGCGAGGCACAAAGTCTGTGGAGCGCTGTAGCGACATGAATCAAGTCCGACTGGAGGGCGGGGTGACACGCCTTTATGAGGCTGAGCATTGCCAGCCGCAGTTTGCCTTGGGCTGCAAGGCGACGCATTAGACCATTTCAATTCAACCACTCTGCAGCCAAGATAGTAGTCGGCATGTAGGAGCCAGTGGGTGCAAACAGCACCTCGTATTGAAACGGACATTGTGATAGTATGTGCAGCGTGGGATGAATCAGATATGTTTGCCAGGAAGAAGACCTGAAGGTCACCAACCCTCAAGTGCCTGGCGAGCCTTGGAAACTCGAAGCGCCAAGCTGCCAAGTGCCCCCCGTCCAAGTCACCTGGGCAGCACTTTTTACTTGGATGCACCGAGTGTCGATTTGACTTGGTTCATATCAGTCACTTGTCCTGCACCACAAAACTCCTATCTCACCTCGGACCTACAAACAAGCCATCAACGTGGTGTCTTATGCGCCGGGCATCAGTTGAGATGAACCGTCCTGGAGCCTCATTTTGACCTCTCGAGATCGTATCCAATACACTTCATTACACACAGGTAGACCTCAGGTTCTCCAGCCGAATAAACGGACTCCTCCGTCACAGCACATCGCTCACGACCCTCAGGAGACCTAGAATATCCCGCCTCGTCCAGCTGCAGGAGCCACCAATTGGGTGCACATGGCTCTGCTGCGAGCACGCCTAGCGCGCACCTCACCATTGGTAATAGCCAGATAGTCATCAAGACAGCTCCTTTAGGATACCATCGACGCCGGTCAACCAGGACCAGTTGGATTGGCCATAATCAAACAGCCAACCAGCTAGCTACCCATCAGACCGCCCTGTCTCCTTCGTACAGCCTTGACATCTAGCATCGTTGATAACAGCATCCACTTGGCGGGTGAGTCCGAGTCCATTCTTGATGGAACATGCATCATGTTCACACCTGACTCTGATAAATCCTGCTCCCTCACATCAGATGTGCTCGATCTCTCGAAAAGGTGGACAAAGTGGACACCAAGATCTCCCGGAGTGGAAAATGAACCCGGCAGCTCCGCTACCCAACCCCAGAGACTTTCCTCCACCATCCCCCGGGGACTATCAATCGTTTCTTCTTCCGTCACCCTTGTCAAAAATCTCTTCCTCCCCCACCTCTCTAGTCCCCAGGAACACTTGCTTGCATATGTACTCCGTATGGCTGGCAGGAGGACGAGGAACGGGGATTGGCGATCCGGCAATCTATCCGTCTCCCTCCCCTTCAACCTACATATCCGATCGTTCCGGAGCGCCCACAGAGCTAGCCGTGCTTTCATACGCAGGTACACAGTCGCCTTGAATCTCAATGTGATGGACCCGTCCCCCCCAATCCCTGTATACATTGCGTAAGCTTTCTCGCAAGCTTTCTCCAAGCTTTTGCCAGACGGCACGTGGGCCCTGTTGGAGAAGATATCCGTGGCCAGTGGTTTTCCCTTCTGGCCCCTTTCAGTTTAGACAATTTGCTTGTTTTCTCCAGCTCCCTTTGTCACTGGTCGCCGCAGCGAAGGCCACTAATCATTCCGTCAGCATCACCCAGCAACACCCAGCATTTGTCACCACCAGTGTTACTTCCTCTCCGTGATCCGCACGTACAGACTAGCTGACTGGAAGGGGGAGGTGATCGACAACCTGCACGAAATGTACGTACTTGTGGCTGCAGGTCCCGCGTGTCTCGCTTGTGCCACATCCTAAACGGACGTCAGCAACACTTCGTTCTAGATAAGATCCATGTCGAGTTCTTAGACGAGAGAGAGGGAGAGAGAGAGAGAGAGAGAGAGAGAGAGAGAGAGAGAGAGAGAGAGAGAGAGAGAGAGAGAGAGAGAGAGAGAGAGAAACAGACAAGAACAAAAAACAAAAGAGACGAGCAAAACAGGCACATACTTATATTAGACACCGTACCACACCTCCCACAAATACACACACCAAAGCACACAGAACGAGGCAATAAAGAGTATAGCGTCAAATGCCAAAAGAAAAAAAAAAAAA